TCCAAGGTAACATATTAATTATAATAACAAAAGTTATAAAACAGTATCATCTTTAACCCATTCGCCCCAGATTTATGTTCTGTCCCCAGTAGTTTTTGGTAAACTTGGTTACATACAGATGTCTCCACATGTGCTCAGCTGGCAAGGAGTGTATCAGTAGGCCCTAGTTACCGATCCTGATTTTCCCATTCATTTAATTGGCAGGAAAATAAATAGCATTGCTATCAATACTGTTATTATTGTTATTGATGTTATGATTATTAAATTGTCATTAGAATATTTTAGACAATGAAATGATACAAAAAAACTTTTTCTAAAGTGAAGGAAAAGGGTAAACAGGTGAAATAGGTTGTTCTTGATAATTGGTTATTTGGTAATTAAGTACTTGTGGAGCCATCTATGTGTAAATACAATAAATAAACGTGTATCAAAGTGGGCACGGCATCTACTCTTGCCACGTGGGGCGAATGGATTAACACATACAAAAAAAAAAAAAAAAAAAAGGTATCAACACTATAATTCTTGTTTTCTTAATTACTATAGAATAAAACACAGGTACTTATACTATATAACAGCTATTATGGCAAAATATTAATTGATTCACTGAAATTCCTACTATGTAGTAGTTCAAGAACACTTATTTATATGGTTTCTCTCTCCTTTCAATGATGATCAACTTGAGGCATTTAAAACATTCTATTTGAGATAATGATCTGTGTATTAAGCCCAGTAACATGTAATCAGTGTATATTCATACACTGTTTGTATTATTAAGAGTGGGTACATTCCCACAGCACACCAATGAGTTTACACCAAATAAACTCTATTAAAAAAACTATTAAATTTCAATACCTTTGCTATCACAATAATCAAAATCATTACCATCTATATTTCCCTTCTATCTATCACTATCCATTATCCAAGTTTATCAAATTAACCCGAGTCGACCGAAAAATGTTTGCCGTAATATTGTTTTGTGTAATGTGTGCGCTCAGATGGTTCCACAAGTGATTAGCCACAAAGGATTCAACTAGTAGACCTTGTGACCACCTTTTCTTGAGTTTGCGGGAAAAAACTTTTTATACTAATGCAATCAATATCAATGCTGTTATTAATATCAAAGACATTATTGACATTACTAACAGTAATATAAGATACCACATACTAATTCTGAAAATCAATGAAAATGGTAAACAGGTGAGATAGGTAGTACTCAGTAGTGACTTAGTACTTGTAGAGCCATCTATGTGTAAAGACAATTAATAAACTAAATTCACATTGGGCATGACATGTACGTACATGCCATCCCTGGCAGCAATTAGTTAATAAACAAACAACAGTTAATTCTATCGACAATAATGTGAATATCAAAAAGAATAATAATGAAGATTGTGGACGCCTACTTGTCACTTGCTATTGTGGAAAACAGAGGCTTCAGAATATTGCAAAAAGTTTATACAGATGGCAAAAGATTTGCATGCAATATTTAAAGCTATACAGTAAAGCCTCACATTTAGCATACATATTTGTATTTGGCAACCTTAACCAGTTGTTAGCCATTATCACCTGTAACAAAATTTTGCATTCAGTGATTGTATTATCCCTAAATTCAAATTTGACAGTTTCTCCATCCGTCAGTCAAATGACATCACAATGCATACCAGCACATATGTACATACCAATCCTATCCTATCAATTCTGATAAGAGTATTCAACTATTTACTCTAATCAACTGGCTGTGTGCAAATTCCTAGAGTGGCACCAAAGGAGTGCATGAGAATGTGGGTGAACTACTGACTGACAATGGTGAAATGAATAAAAGTCCAAGTAAAAAGAAACAAGCAGCATATTTAATGGGAAAGAAGAGATGACTTTGGCACTTGGAAATGAGCCGTTTCATAATCTGCCTCTCATTATCCTTGAATAAAAGATGAAGACTAAACAAAGATTTCATTTGCTCTCCTTTAGTTTTATGCCAAATCTGAATGATATACACAAAATTGAAGTTTTAAATAAAAAATCTGTATGAAGAGACTGCTGCTATCAGTACTAATGTCTTAACAAATACGAGGCTTTACTGTATACATGTATACACAATATACACCTTTGGTGCATGTGTAATAATGAGTAAGATCTCAACAACAATTATAAAGTAAGTAATCGAAATCATACCACAATAGTAACGAGAGAAACTTATTTTCCTTAATATTTCATGAAATTACAATAGTAAGTAGTGCACCTTCAAAACATTAAACATGGTGAAAAGGAAAACATCCACAATAAGAAATGAAACAATATCGTAACATTTCAAACTCTTCACAAATTCCTCTTCAAATGAGTAAGTATAATGGATAAATGGAGAATAGAGATGTTTGAATCTGAACTCCTCCCACCTATTCTCCTGTAAGACATGATTTGGTTTCAATGTGTTGATGATATTTTTTCTATGGGCAAGTGAACCATAAGATTTTGATGATTTTTTTTTCAGGAGACTTAACCTCAGTCATACTATGAATTTTGAAGTATAATAGGAAGATTCAGGTAAATTACCTTTTCTCAATGTTCTTTAGTCCGTGTAAATGACTCCCTTCAATTTTTGGTTTAATTTAAACCAACTTGGAATTGCTAATTATCTTAATTTTTTTTCTCATATCACCCACTGTATGTTAAGAAGTCAGTAGTCTCATCAATGTCCCTTAGAGCATATAGGATTTGTGACAATGAATTCCCTGATCGAGAACTTGATGTCATTTTTGAAATGTTTTCAAAATTAGGATATCCACGTTTTTTCTTAAAATCAGGCATATTCATCGGAATACACAACAGGACAGTGCCAGTAATTTATTATGCCATATAACCCATCCTTCAATGAAAATCGACATGTTTAAAGGAGCTGGAATTGACATTGTCTTTACATATCTGAACACATTGTGTAATAAGTACAATGCGGCCTTTAGGTATTTACACTACTCCATGTAAGGACTGCCCCAAGTTTTACATAGGAGAAACCGGCAGAGCTTTCAAAAAAAGAATCACTCAGCATAAGCATATGTTAGGTATGTCACGAGAATCAAATGCATGTTTCATTCATTTACATGATGAAGGTCACCAGCTTATGATTACATTAATGAAAAAATCAGCAAATTCTTATGAAAGACAAACTCTAGATGCTCTGTTAATTAGAAAATTGCCTAATTCTAACTTGAGTGCTGGTCAATGGGGCTTGGATGATCACACCTCATTGTTAGTAAATAGAGCCTTCCACGGACTCTTTGACCTTGGCCTTCCTCCTCAAACCTGATTCAGCCTTGCTCGTTCTATCTATCTAGCACAATATAATCTTGTCAAAATCCTCTCCATGTATGCATTTCGTTTAATCATACCTCTGAAAAGGAACTTGTAAAGAGTCTGAAATATTACAATATTGTTTCATTTCTTACTGTGGCTATTTTCCTTTTCATCTTTCTGTACACATTATAGTGTTTGTATTACTCAAGGTCATTAACCAACTATGCAGTGACACTTCCTGAACTCATTTTAAATAGTGACGGCATCTTCTTCATCACAACTCGATTCTATTTTAGTTACTGCTGAGTGATCCTGCACTCTGTTCTGACTCTATTTTTTAGACTCCGTATGTTGCCCTATAGCTTCGCCCACCTTCCCTCTAACCACCAGTCACATAAATCAGCTGGAGTACGCCTCACCTTCTACCCAACACGAGCTCCTACTCTCCATATCCTTTACTTCACCCCATACGCCTTCACCAGGGAAAAAGAGACCGTAAGGAGGGGTACACTACCCCCTCCTTGGTTCAATCTTGGGCTCTTACCTCCTTCTCTCTCTCCCTCATTTCTCAAATTCTAATCCAAATAACTTTGAACGACTGCATATTTGACAGTCTTTGCAGCTGTATATGTGTGTGTGTGTGTGTGTGTGTGTGTGTGTGTGTGTGTGTGTGTGTGTGTGTGTGTGAGAGAGAGAGAGAGAGAGAGAGAGAGAGAGAGAGAGAGAGAGAGAGAGAGAGAGAGAGAGAGAGAGAGAGAGAGAGAGAGAGAGAGAGAGAGAGAGAGAGAGGGAAGGAGGGAGGGAGGGAGGGAGGGAGGGAGGGAGGGAGGGAGGGAGGAAGGAAGGGAGGGAGAGAGGAGATAGGAGAGAGGGAGAGAGGGAGAGAGGGAGAGAGGGAGAGAGGGAGAGAGGGAGAGAGGGAGAGAGAGAGAGAGAGAGAGAGGGAGAGAGGGAGAGAGAGAGAGAGGGAGAGAGAGAGAGAGAGAGAGAGAGAGAGAGAGAGAGAGAGAGAGAGAGAGAGAGAGAGAGAGAAGAGAGAGAGAGAGAGAGAGAGAGAGAGAGAGAGAGAGAGAGAGAGAGAGAGAGAGAGAGAGAGAGAGAGAGAGAGAGAGAGAGAGAGAGAGAGAGAGAGAATCAATCAAATTGTTGTAGCAGCTATAAAGTATTTCACTACTCCCCATCCCTCTCACAAAACTGGATCACATTAGCAGACAATAGACTAAAAGACAGACACACATCGTATATCTCTCTGTTCAGATATTGTCATATGGGCATCTTATTACGCACAAATCTCCATTAACATGCATACATTGCAAGGATGCTGATCCTATGGAAATTATTTTGATATGCATTAACTAGTTAAAAGCACAGCCATAGTGTTGTTTGAAAGAGTTCTTAACCTGACTGAAAATATTAGGTGTGCTGCATATGCATTTTGTGGTATGTAACAGTATAATTTAAAAAGTACTCTAATTACAAATTACTTCAAATATCACTCATCCTATTAATCGTATATGCAAAAAAACATAGAGAATTATAGACGTTTATCGCTGTCTGCAAGATATTTAAACCAACTGGGATTCATGACCTGACTGCGTATCCAAATAACAAATCATACAAGAAGTAAATATAAATAAATGCAAAATATTACTTCTAACAAGTATATCATTAATGAAAGATGTGACCTGAAGTATTATTCATCTCTTTTATTCTGTTTACTAGTACATTTTCTTTTTCTTTAACTAAATCATATAAACTGAACTTGGTGTTGCTGGAGTCGGAATCAGAGGGAATTTGGTGTTGCTTGAGTCTGAACTGGAGGGAATTTGGTGTTGCTTGAGTCTGAACTGGAGGGAATTTGGTGTTGCTTGAGTCTGAACTGGAGGGAATTTGGTGTTGCTTGAGTCTGAACTGGAGAGAATTTGGTGTTGCTGGAGTCGGAGTCGGTAAAAATGTCCCGACCAACATAAATTTCAGACACTACATAAATTGCAAAAATCCCACTTTCTAACATATTGCTCACTTTATTTCCATCCAAGAGAATGAGAATCATATGATTTTCATTTTGTCAATTTGCATGAAATCAAGGAGTTGGAGTCAGAGTCAGGTGTTTCGAGAACAGACTGCACAGCCCTGCCATGTACTACATGCTATACTGTAACCATATCCAAAGGTAGCACCAATTGTTTTCTAGCTGTGTATACATGGAAATGGTGGGATTTGCATATTGTCAATGCTATGCATCAACTATCACACATGACTGCCTTTAGCTAAAACAATGATAAAAAAAAATCCTATTTACAGCCAGAATGAATTTCTCATTTTTACTTAACCCCTTGTACTAGGGTGGCATAAAATTCATGCCATGAACACTGCGATTTTAGTTCATTAACCAAATTGCCACATATGGCAAAAAATACATGCCAAGTCCACGGTAATTTTAGTCTAATTGTTTTAACACAGAAATAGCTCCACGAGTGCTTAGTCTTCGAGAAGTCAGTTATTAGTCCTCCCTATCTTAAGAATCATTAATTTATTTCAGAATTCTTGCCAGGGTACGAAGAGTATTCGTCTCCCAAATGCCCCTTCCTTTGCCACAATGTACAGAGGAAAAAGGTAAATACAATGACTTCTGCCACAGGATCACCAACTAGATCCCAATTGTAATTTTTATGATTAAAAAAGAATAAGCTTTTTTTTTTATGAATTAAAAAGATTAACCCCATCCCTCCAGCATATACTTTGTACACTCATGAAAATGATGAAGAAAATGGATGACCCCTTACCTCTTTACACATTTCCTTATGGAAAGATTCTTTTTTAATTATCTACAAGTACTTAGTTATCAACGAGTCCATTACTAGTTCCACCCTTCTCACCTGATTACCCCTTTCTTGATTTTTTTTATTCTTTTACTGATATTCTAAAAACATTATAATAATCATAAACAATAATAATAACAACATCGATAGTAATAGCATAAAAAAAAAATAAGGAAGGGGGAAATCCAGGTCTGATCACATTGGACTACTAGCTAGCTCCTTGGTGGCTGGTGGTCACTTGTGGAGGAGCCATCCGCGTGCAAATAAGTTCACAAAAAAATCACAGTGGACAGTACATGTTGCCATCTATACAGTGTTAAGAGTGGGAAGTATGTTGTATGACAGAGTATTAAACAGGTTAACATCTTGTCTAAAATATTCAGAATCAACTGCTAGTCTTCAAAATGGAATTAATATAAACAGTAGCAGGCAGTAATCCTTTTCATGAGCAAGTAATCCTATTCCATTTCTTATTAATACCGAGTCCTTTCAGCACCAAAAAGGAGTAGCTATCACTGAACTCCTGACCACCACATTTTAGAAATCGTATGGGGCTAGCCTTGAGAAGAACTAGATTTCTTACCAGCAGTTATCTCATAATAATCCCATAAAACAGTTTTAAACCTGAAAACTACAAACGAAACATATTACCAACTGACATGAGAAGTGGGAGGAGGTTAAGCATCTTACCATGGGCGGGAGGTTGCTGCGAGGTTCGATGAGCCGAGGAAAGCTGGTCCTCCGGTGGGACATAATCCAATGACACCCCCAACTGCTGTAACTGGTCCTCCGAACACAGCTTGCCATACAGGAGGTTGGGCCGACCCCCGTATCCTCCTCCCATGTCACCTGAAATGCCAAAGAGAAAGTTTATTAAAAAAGTTCCATTACTACACAAATACTACGTTTCCTTAAACAAAATTTTAATCCAAAAGAGATGACACAGAGGTTTTGCACGGGCATTCTATGTAAAAAAGATCTATATTTATTGCTATGTATTCATACATTTTCAATTTCCCAGCAGCCCAAACTTATAGTATTGTATCAAATCTCCAATATCATAATTTTCTGCTATAAATAACATCACTATTAATAATAGTCATTCCAGAATCCATATTTCTTCTACAAATATAACTGGAGAAGTATTACGCAATATCCCAGGCTCCATTTCTCTCACTCACTCTCTCGCTCACTCACTCACTCACTCTCATCAGTAGGTTTTAGCCTATCATTCTCACAAAGAATGAATGAATCACACTGATTAAATCTCAAGACTTCAGTGTCTTAATCCTATGACTCCCCTATCTAGTGCACTGAGTAAGGCAACACTACATATTAAGGAGTCTCTTTTCTGCACCTTGAATGCCCAAAGCTCCAGAGGCCGATGCAT